ATTAGTATTGTTATTATTATTATTATTAGTATTTGTTATTTATATATGTAATATAACGGGCCCCAGTTCCTATCCTAATTATTCATGAACCTATAGTATCAGACTTCCTTCTCGGACTTCTACGGTTTACGGTTCAGGGTCACCGCTGTCATTGCCTTCAACTGGAACCCAAACCTTAAAGCTTGGACCCTGAACCCATAAGTTGGCCCATAATAAAACGAATAATCAGCATCATAATACGAATAAAGAATAACAGTAGCAGGGTTTAGGGTTTAGGGTTTAGGGTTGAATAAAGAATAACAGTGGCAATACGAGTACTGAGCCCGCAACAGCAGCCTTACTACTTGCCCCCAGCACCCCGAACTCTGAATTACCCTAAGCCTTCAACCCAAAAGAGGCCGTCTGAAAACGTTATGAAACCACTTCTGAAACCTATAGAAATCCCATGCGACCCCATGAGAACCTCAAACCCTAAACTCGTAAACCCTAAACCCAAATCCCTAGAGTAACCCCCCACGTAAACCTTAGAATAACTCGCATAATAAGCAACTCTTGTGTCTTATGGCAACCCTAATAACCCTAATAACCCTAAACCCTAAGCCCTAATAACCCCAATAACCCTCACAACCCTAATAACCCTAATAGCCCTAAGCCCTAAGCCCCTATTGACCCCTGATTACTCCTTACAGGAACCCTTAACGCTACCCTTAGAGAACCCTCAACTCTGCAGTGCTGTGGTGGTGCCTGATGGCAACTCTCATAGTCTCTCTTAAACGGTTTAGGGTTTAGGGTTTAGGGTTTAGGGTTTAGGGTTTAGGGTTTATGTAATCCTAAACTCTGCATAAAGTTGGAACATCAATGTCCTCATGCCCGGAAGGTAAAATATAATAAGGGATCCTAGCACTAATCCTCCTAAACGTATGCTCGGACTTTCTGGGATTCGCCATTACCTCTCCCTAAGGGTCCATGTACCCATATAGCATATACTTAGACCCCAAAGTACCCAAATAGGAACTACAT